TTTGATTCTCTCCTGTCTTGTTCTCCCTGTCTTTTATTCTGTCCTGTCTTGTTCTCCCTGTCTTTTATTCTGTCCTGTCTTGTTCTCCCTGTCTTTTATTCTGTCCTGTCTTGTTCTCCCTGTCTTTCATTATGTCTTGTCTTGTTCTCCCTGTCTTTTATTCTGTCCTGTTTTGTTCTCCCTGTCTTTCATTCTGTCCTGTCTTGTTCTCCCTGTCTTTTATTCTGTCCTGTCTTGTTCTCTCTGTCTTTCATTCTGTCTGTCTGTCTTGTTCTGTCCTGTCTTCTTTCTCTGTCTTTTATTCTGTCCTGTCTTGTTCTCCCTGTCTTTTATTCTGTCATGTCTTGTTCTCCCTGTCTTTTATGCTGTCCTGTCTTGTTCTCCCTGTCTTTTATTCTGTCCTGTCTTGTTCTCCCTGTCTTTCATTCTGTCCTGTCTTGTTCTCCCTGTCTTTCATTCTGTCCTGTCTTGTTCTCCTTGTCTTTCATTCTGTCCTGTCTTGTTCTCCCTGTCTTTTATGCTGTCCTGTCTTGTTCTCCCTGTCTTTTATGCTGTCCTGTCTTGTTCTCCCTGTCTTTTATGCTGTCCTGTCTTGTTCTCCTGTCTTTCATTCTGTCCTGTCTTGTTCTCCCTGTCTTTTATGCTGTCCTGTCTTGTTCTCCCTGTCTTTTATTCTGTCCTGTCTTGTTCTCCCTGTCTTTCATTCTGTCCTGTCTTGTTCTCCCTGTCTTTCATTCTGTCCTGTCTTGTTCTCCTTGTCTTTCATTCTGTCCTGTCTTGTTCTCCTTGTCTTTCATTCTGTCCTGTCTTGTTCTCCCTGTCTTTTATGCTGTCCTGTCTTGTTCTCCCTGTCTTTTATGCTGTCCTGTCTTGTTCTCCCTGTCTTTTATGCTGTCCTGTCTTGTTCTCCCTGTCTTTTATGCTGTCCTGTCTTGTTCTCCCTACCTGGTCTTGTGCTGTCTTATCCTGTCCCTTAAGTTTTTAGCTGTTACCGTCCAGCTCCAGGTTTCTACCAACAACAGACAACAGGAATAAATCCATCATACGGGGTCAACAGACACTAGTCACGTGGTGTTTATTAGTGCACGGTATAATTACCATAATTAAAACATGGCACACTGTTTTTCACAATACACGCACACATAGGTACACACGCCTGATAACGCATACACGTACACATACTTACACACAAGTTCGCTTACGTACGCACAAGTGCATATGTGTATGCACACACACACACACACACACACACACACACACACACACAAACACACACACACCCGCGGCGCACACTACTTGTAAGCATTGGTATAAACGCCAAAGGTACATTCGCACACACACACACCCGCGCACACTACTTGTAAGCATTGCTGAAAACACCAACGGTACATTCGCACACACACACCCGCGCACACTACTTGTAAGCATTGCTGAAAACACCAACGGTACATTCGCACAGATACATGTGAGCGTAATTGTTTGTTTTTACAATTAGCGTGTTTTCCTGAAAACAACACCGGATCTGATAAATTATTGCTTAAAATTTCCCTTATGACTTTTTCTAGCTGGGTGCTTTATTTTCTCACATTAAAAAAATCTTCATTTATTCACTTCGAAAAATGTAATTATTTTAAGTACACAAATATCCATTTATTCAAGTACAAAAATATCCATTTATTCAAGTACAAAAATATACATTTATTCAAGTACAAAAACATCCATTTATTCAAGTACAAAAATATACATTTATTCAAGTACAAAAATATACATTTATTTAAGTACAAAAATATACATTTATTCAAGTACAAAAATATACATTTATTCAAGTACAAAAATATACATTTATTCAAGTACACAATTCTCCATTTATTTAAGTACAAAAATATACATTTATTCAAGTACAAAAATATACATTTATTCAAGTACAAAAATGTACATTTATTTAAGAACACAAACATCCATTTATTCGAGTACAAAAATATACATTTATTTAAGCACACAAATCTGCGTGTAGTCAAGTAAAAAAGTATACATTTTGTCAAATTCACAGATCTACATTTACTCAAGTTAAAGAATATACATTTATTCAAGTCACAATCTCCTTTTATTGAAGTACAAACAATGCACACTTATTCAAGTACACAAATCTCCATTTATTCCAATGCAAAAATATGCATTTATTTAAGTGAACACGTCCTCATTTATTGAAAACAAAAAGGCGCATTTATTCGAGTATAAAAGCTTGAATGTAGTCACATTTTTATACATTTATTCCTTCAGATCTCAACCATTATCATCTCCTAATACCGCGTCCGTGGCTAAGGCATTGCGAGTCCGACTCGTAATCCAACGTAGCGCGATCGAAACCCTCTGCGGGCTGCGTGGATTTTTATCGTGGTATGGGACGTCGCAGGTCGACCCAGCCTCAAATGGGTACCAGGATGGCTGTCCTGGGAAAGTAAAGACGGCCGGCGTAATACTGACCACATTACCCACCGAGTGCCGATTGGTCTGTAAAAAATATTGGACGCTCTGCCCATATGCCCGATGCGCCGAAAGGCGTGAAAAGGGATCTTTACTTTTTTTAACACCGCGTGTCGTTGGGTTACCAGTTGCTGTTGACTGGTCAACTCCTCCACCACTGACGGCGTAGAATCGATAGTCCTCATGGTTGCATGCCTAAGGCTTGTTCGGTCAATCAAGTTAAGTATCCATGTCTTTCTGGGTCAGCCTCTTGTCCTTTTTTCCCTCCACTGACCCCTGTAGTATTTTATAATCCAAAACGAGATCGACTCGCTAGCTTAGTTGGGTAAACCTGACTTCGCGGTGACCGTCTGACGAACTCCTTGCCGCCCGGGTTCACGCCCTGGGGTAGGCAGAAAAGCCACATGTTTCCAAGATTAACGGTACTTATCATGGAATCAAGGCCGAAGGGTTGCGATATTCCTAATACCGTATCCATAGTTCACAGGCTGTAAACTCATGCCAAAGTCCTGGGTGTTCGTCCACCTCCAGGCTTTAGTCTTGTTCCAGAACCTGAGTGTTGCATTCACATCTTGTTCACACATCTGGCTTATTTGTATGCAGACTCTTGGTTTCTTGCCTCTCAGGCAGATGTACTCCGACTTCGAAGGATGCCCACTGTTAGTCAACTCCTACGACACGATTGTTGGGGGCAGCAGTGGGCTTATTCTTGCCCCCCCCCCCTTAATGGGGCCCTGGAAACGACGAAGGGATCAAAGATTCAAACTCACGCCCTCCACATTATGACAGGAACCATGCATTGCGCTCTAAGCCAATAACTGACATGGAAACGTTGTTGGTCTCAGTGCCTGGGAAGACAGGGGACACAACTTCTTATGCAGCTCTTCGAATACCACTACTCGAAAGAACAACCCACGCACTGCGGACTGCAAAAATATCCGACTTTAGTTAGTTGCGTATCTTTTACAGTACGGTGATGAACCAGCCCCAAGATTGTTTGGGCTGTTATGTTTTTTTAGGCACATTTTACGTTTAGTAGTTTGTCATTGCTTACTTCTTCTTTTTCTTCTTCTACTTCTTCGCGTTCACCGGCTGTAAACTCCGGTGGAAAGTTCTGGTTGTTCGTCTACTTCTGGATTGTAGTTCTGTTCCAGAACCTGGGTGTTGCGTGTGCATTCGTTTGACATATTTGACTGATTTGTATGCGGACTGTTGGTTCCTTGCCTCTCAGGCAGATGCACTCCGACTTTGAAGAAAGCTCCCAATAAGTCGACTCTTACGACATGCTTTTGGGTAGGCATGGGTATATTCTTGTTTTCCCTATAATAGGGCCCCGGAACCCACACGGTGACCATTGCCTACTAAGTGGTCAGCTCATGGTACCACTCTCGAAAGAAACTCAAGACAAATCGTCTGTAGGTGGATTCGAACCCGGCACTCCGGAATTACGAAGCGCGTTTGTAAAGCCTAAGTCACAGACGCCGACAGACTCCCTCCTGTTGTACCAACATTTCTCACTGAGACCATATAATCACTGTGCACATTAGATTAGGGATAACTTGCCAGCAGTCAGAATCACTGTAACTGTGATCTGCTCCAAACCATCTATGAGCAGCTTAGATATGAAGTATGTTACAGAAGCAGAGATCAACGGACGTTACCCGCACCAGAGTTGGATTAGAGTTTATACATATGGTTAAGGCAAGAGCTCTCTCTCTCTCTCTCTCTCTCTCTCTCTCTCTCTCTCTCTCTCTCTCTCTCTCTCTGTTTTTGTACCCCACCAGAACATCACACAAGCGATAAACACCCGGTGACACAAAGTGCCACCATGCGGACGAGGATCAATCGGAAATCCACTTCAGCCTTTAGGCCATATTTATGACCCCTATACACTAAGGCCTTCCCGGCGAAGGCCGAGTAGGGGCTTCACAATATCAAAAAATTGCACCCCGCAAAGGGACTGCTTAAATATGGCAAGAGAGCAAAAATAGACCGAAAAGGATGTAGATACATTAAATGTCCAAATGGTTTAACTATTTAAAAGTCGTTACCAACAGATTCATTTTTCTTTAACTACAGAGCACAGGCAGGTGTACTTCTGGTTGTGTGTTCTTTTTCTGAAGAGACAACAGCATATTGTATATAGCAGAGTGGTCTTTCTGACTGATGCTATGTCAGTTCTACAAGCAATTGTTCACCCGAAATACAGGCAAGTTTGTATTCTTCTCGCAACAACTGATTCACTTAAGCTCTGTGGTACAACAGTCCATACTGCAGTAGACTCCAGTCACTGTTGCTTGGAATGCAACGACAAAGTAAACTTTTCTACAGAAGCAAATAGTCAGTTTACCACCAACTTCCATTTATAGCTTCTTACGACATACTTAAAAAGCTAATGTGTCAGTAAAACACAGGTATTTTCAACCATTGCACACACGCAGATATGTTGTATTTTGATGATATACGGAAACTCTCGTGTAGGTACGTAATGTTTGTTGTTCGATCTATGAAGTGTGTTAGGAGGGAGAGTCGGTCTTGAGCATGTCGTAAGCCATGGAGTGAGTTGAGAGGACGTCATATGACTGGAGGGCGTTGTGGTGACGCAGGTGGTCGGCCTGCAGCAGTCCCAGCATGTTGGAGTGGTCCCGAGACTTCATCCGCAGCGAAAACAGAGGGTCTTCAGCCTGGCACTTGTCGAAACCTCCTTGAACAAAGGGAGATAAGTGAGCTATTAGTATAAAGCAAGCCAGTTTGGTGAGTTTCAGAAATGAGGAAAACACGCTGGCGTTGGATAAGACACTAAATGAGAAAACTTAATATCAATATAATTAGGATGTGTTGAGCTGTATGCTGTTGACAGAGAGGCCAACTGACCTGTGCCGATCTCCATGAAGACAAAGCTGTATGACACACGGGGAGATAACTTTCAAGCTACTAGTCTCCTGATACGTTTTCTAAACAAAGAGAAGAAGAAGAAGAAGAAGAAGAAGAGGAAGAAGAAGAAGAAGAAGAAATAGAAGATGATGATGACGATGAAGAAAAGGATAAAGAAGAAGAAGAAGAAGAAGATGAAAAAGAAGAAGAAGAAGAAGAAGAAGAAGAAGAAGAAGAAGAAGAAGAGGAGGACGACGACGATTAGAGAATAAAACCTATGAACACCGCGATGGCAGCAAGTGCCCTAGACACAGCTTTAGCGCAGTACCTCGAACATTTGTTGGTCCAACATCTGTACATGAGTACTGACTAGGTCAATGCACAATCTCACAAAAATTAATAATAAACGTAGACATACACAATAAAATTAAAAATGAGAAAGAAAGAGTAAGATCTGTACCGGCCAAAGTCATTCTAGCATAACCATTTTCTATGGCGAGCTACAAAAAGGAAAACGCCCTCAAGGTGGACAAAAGAAAAGTTTCAAGGACAGCCTCAAGACCTCACTGAAAGACTTCTGTATTGATCTAAAACCTGGAAAGTCGTTGCATGTGACAGCTCATCCTGGCGCTCCTCTCTTTATCGAGGAGCTGTGGCCCATGAAGCTGGTAGAACTGCAACAGCAATTCAGAAAAGTCAAGGCAGGAAAGACAATGAAGTCAATAACCAGAGAGGTGAGACCCCAATTTCCCTGTCTACATTATTCAAGAACTTTCAGTGCTTGAACTGGCCTTTTCAGTCATCTGCGCATTCCTTTCAGTGCTTGAACTGGCCTTTTCAGTCATCTGCGCATTCCTTTCAGTGCTTGAACGGGCCTTTTCAGTCATCTGCGCATTCACAAAACGTTACCGTTGGATAAAAGGACTAGTCATCATCATCTGTGATGGATGAACCACAACAACAACAAGCATTACAAACAAGAAAAAGCTATTAGTCTGAAAAAGACATAAATAAAGACAGAGTAAAGAACAAAATGAAAGTAAAGGTTAACACAAAAGAGAAGATAGATTTAAAGAAAGAAATGGAAAAAAACATAATAAAAAGACAGAGAGAAAGAAATCTAGAAAGAAAAGAAAGAAAGACTTAAAGAGAGATGAATGACCTGCTACTGCCATACTGGAGTTCCTTGCATCGAACTGATACCCTCCGGGCTGTAGATGAGTGCTAATGCTGGGCGACCAGGTGTTGGGGTAGGTGACATTTGACAAGTTGGTGTACGTAGGAATCTGAAACATAATAATAATAATAATAATAATAATATATATATATATATAATTTGAGCAAAGAAGGCACAAACAATGGATTGCACAATTTATTGCCTGGCATATTTCGCTGTATCTCGTCAGGTGCTTACTTCAGTAACAATTGATTAAAATGAACCACAGTGTTTAGCTTCGAAGTATTCACTTATCTGCTTCATTGCAATTAATTGCACCTGACGAGATACAGTGAAGTATGACAGGCAGTAAATTGTGCAATCTATTGTTTGTGTCTTCTTTGTTCAAATTCACAACCAAATTCTCGTTTTTAAAACATAAACAATTTGCAGTGCCTTTGGTTATTTCTTCTTCCGTCGTGCTCTGTCCTCTTCTTATCATTCATAGTAAGTTTAGAACCCTGTTTCACGATTTCAGGCGTATTGGGCATATAGGGCTAGACCATGTACTCCAGGACTGCACCGATTTTATTAAGGCAAACCTTGTGGCCAGAAAGAACAACCAATCGGCACTTGGTGAAATTTATACAAGGTTGATATGCCATGCGAACGAAAGAAGAAGAAGAAGAACGCTTTCAGGCGTATTGGGCATAAAGGGCTAGACCTATATGCTGTATACCAATTGGCACTTGGTGGTTGATGCCATCAACACCATGCCAGCCGCTTTTTTCCCCAGTACTTTTCCTGATACTCATTTAAGACTGGGTCGACCTGGGAGCCAAGATCATTGTTGAACAACAGTTCGGCTCCGTCAGGCTCTGAACCCGTAACCTTCAGATCTGCAGGCGAGCGTCTAGCCGCTACGCCACCGACTGTAAACTCCAGTGGAAAAGCTTTGTTTGTTCGTCCACTTCTAGACTTTGATCTGGTTCCAGATATTGAGTTTGGTCGCATCTTACGCCATGCTTGTTAGGGGAGCAGTTGAGCAACAAGGAGCCAAAGACCGACACTGGGGTTCGTTAGTTTAATGTATGTTTGAGACTTTACAGTTCTGAATCTGTCTACTTACGTTTTGCGATATTAGCATCGTCTGCATTTTGTTGTTCTGGTTAGCCTTTCCATATTTCATTAGTTTGATTAGGATAGCGAAGATTAAGAGATCAAACGACATACTATAAATTTTGTAGTGGATGCCTTGGTGTAGTGGCTAATCGTTCGCCTGCCGATGGGAAAGAGGTGGGTTGAGGTCATGACAAAGCCGGACTTTTCGGTAATGACCTTGGTCGACTCAGTCTTAAATGGGGACCGGTACAGTCCTGGGAAGTAAAGGCGACCGGTGTGATGCTTAAAACATCAACGACCGAATGCTGATTGGTCTATAAAATATAGGACTTATATATAAACCTTATATGCCCAATACGCGTAAAGGTTTGGAAGAGGGTCTTCTGCAGAGCATGGGTCTCATCACTGACAGCTTGAAAGATCCTTTATTTGTTTTGCTAGTTCACCGACTTCATACACTTTCAAGGTGTATCTATCAATACTGTTATGTTTGTACATACAAATTACTCGCAGATATCTCTCCAGTAATCATTTGATCTGTCTGCTATTTTCTCCGTCATGTTTCCTACCACATGACCCGTCTTTGTGTCTTAGGCAACGCCCCATGCGGACTTAGACAGCAAACGCAAATCACCCGTATGGAAGAGACACAACTCAATTTCCCCGGCTTTATTCTCACCGTACGGTTATCCTCTTACGTGACAGGGGTCCTTGCCAAGCGACAGGACGATATGAAGTCTGTCGCCAAACTCGGGAGTGTTTCTCACTCAATTTGTCTAGGAAATAAATCCTGAATGGAAATGGCTCGTGGAATCAATTTGAAACAGGAATTTTGTCTACATGGTTCCAAAGAAATTAATTTGGCTTTTAAGCAGACGACATTTGAGCGCGTGAAGGAGAAATGAAAAATATGAAATGGGAGTAAGAAAAAAAAAAAAAAGACACGATTAATATTCCGAGACGGCATTGACTGTTCTTTGTAACTGAAAACCTTAGTAAAAACTGTAAACTTTGTGGTGAAAAAGCCATGGGGACGTACTAAGGAGAATATCGTAATGATTTGATCCAGGTTTTTCCTAGAAGAAAAGGTGTTTTTGTCTAAACAGAGGTGCTTACCACAACGTGTCTAAAAAGTGTCGGTACTTACCACAGAATATCTGATACAGTAGCGCTATGCCTTAAAAATGTGACCCGGGACTGTGTAGCGCTAGCACACTGATTCAAGACTCATGCTCTTGTGAAGTGGTATCAGTGAGCCTCTACACTTATCTGCTGAACACAGGCTGGTGGTTCCTCGCCTCTCAGGCAGATGTTCTCCGACTTCAAAGAAAAAATCCCTAAATAGTCGCCGTTTACGACATGCTTACTGGTCGGGACCACAACCCTAAATGAGGCCCGTTAACCCACATGGGGACACTCGAAAGTCAAGATCGAATTTCCACTGAAATAGACAAACCACATGGTCTTATTACTGTTTACACTATATCTCGCTGCCGGAAGTTCAAGATAGCCCCGTGGTTATCACAGAAGCCTGACATTAACCACACGCTCTTTTTGTTTGCATAAAGCCTGATTGTTCATTTTTATTGTCTTGAGAAAAGATTTAGAAAGTTATGTATAAAGATGATAGGAGACGTTCTCACCTGTGTGGCATGAGACAAATATGTATCCACGAAACCGTTGTAGGACACGTCCTGTTTGAAGGAGGCTGTGTGAGGATAACTTTGATGTAGAGAGGTCAGCTGCGGTCGATGTTGCCAGAATGAATCTGTGGGAGGTCAAATATGAATGATAGGCACTGATAACCTCCCGGGCATAATATTAGGACACATATTATTTCAAAAGTTAGTAAATGAGTTTAACAGTTTCAAGACACTCGAGTTTTATATTTCGATTTCTAAGGCGGAAAAAAATAAAGCGACAACCATTCTTGTTGTTTTTTTTTGACGACGGTACGAAAAATCCCAAGACTAGAGTCTCAACACGTTAATTTCCAAAGACAACAGTCATGCTTCCAGTTTCACAGAAGCGTGTCATTCCTTAACAGTTCTCATCCTGTGCCAGCAAAAACGAAATAAAACGTCGATATCTGCTGCACCGTGTGAAAAGTAAAACATCCATTAGTCACGAAAGACCATCAAGAAGCACAGGAATGCAATGTATATGGCAGCAAAAAGAGTGTTATCTATTTTCGTAACTAGACTTGCAATTCATTGTAGTAAAGAAACTTTGTCAAGACTTTCGTACATGGAGCATATCATATGGCGCTATAAAGATATTTGTATAGACCCCGATCTTTCAGTCAAAATGGACGCTGGGCACGGTCACTGTCCTGAGCCGTGGAAATTTTTTTGCTTTTGCCAGACGATGACCATTGCATTTTTTGTCAAATAGACTGAAAGAATATAGTTTCGTCGCCCAGCTTGTCAGCTGAGTGCATGGCGTGACACTGTGAGCTGCAGATTTCATTTAGAATGTTTTTCGCTTGTGACCAACGAGGTGGTGTGAATTGTAGATTAAGAAAATAGCGTGATGCATGTTGTCGCAAAATTGGTGGTGCCATTATGTGATTAAAATTGATCGCGTGTGCAACTGCTGATCTGTTGGTGACTTCGGCTACCATCAATGGTGAACTGCATTTCTAATGTCGGACTGTTTGTGTTAGCACTTAGCTACTCTTCTTCTTTTGTTGTCCCACTGATACCAGATTGTAGCCCAGTGGCGTGGTTTTGTCGTCTCATTGATACCAGGTTGTAGCCTAACGACGTGGTTTTGTCGTCTCACGGATACCAGGTTGTAGCCCAGTGTTGTGGTTTAGTCGTTTCACTGATACTAGCTTCTAGCCCAGTGTTGTGGTTTTGTCGTCTTACTGATACCAAGTTGTGTCCCAGTGTCGTGGTTTTGTCGTCTCAATGATATCATGTTGTGTCCCAGTGTCGTGGTTTTGTCGTCTCAATGATATCAGGTTGTATCCCAGTGTCATGGTTTTGTCGTCTCACTGATACCAGGTTGTAGCCCAGTGTCGTGATTTTGTCGTCTCACTGATAACAGGTTGTAGCCCAGTGTCTGATTTTGTGGTCTCATTGATACCTAGTAGTAACTCAGTTTCGTGGTTTTCTGTATTTGTTGTGCGCTTCTCGGGTGGCTTGAATGATGGATTTGTTCAACTTTCTGCAGGTTTCATCTATACCATGTATCCATCCCTTTCATGGTCTTCCTCTCGCCTTCCTCCCAGATGTTCTACTGTAAAAAGTCTCATATGCAGTCTGGCCTGGCTGCATTTTCATTAGATGACCGAACCATTCATTATTCGTCTGTCAATATGATCCAGACATTGTCTTATTCACAATTTCTCTCGAATGCTGGTATTCTTTTCTCAAGCACTCAAATCTTTCACACAATTACTTAATCAAGCATCTAGTACAGTATGTCTCAGAAGTCCTATCCTCATACTTGAACAATTATTTCGGAAACCTCTGTACGGATTTACATGAACTTTTGCATGTAGCGTTCGATTTCCTATGTTCTTGTGATTATATAATTTACAATTAAGCTGGTGCTGCTGTTTTCTAAAATCGGCAAATTTCTTTGATCTTTGTTCGACTAATAATTAGTGTACCCCTAAAAAAAAAAAAAATAGAATACATAATGACTGACACACATATGGAGATTATTTTCAAATCAGTTCACATGTGCAGCGGGGCTTACTGATTATTTCGACAGTCTATCCAGCATACAATAAAAAAAATTCGCAACTGACGGGAAGCTAATGCTGGAGATGGTCACCAGAGAATAAAACGCCTATGACATTTGTACAATCTGTAAAACGCCTATGACATGTGTACAATCTGTCAAAACGCCTATGACATGTGTACAATCTGTCAAAACGGCTATGACATTTGTACAATCTGTAAAATTCCTATGACATGTTGTACAATCTGTAAAATGTCTATGACACGTTGTACAATCTGTAAAATGCCTATGACATGTTGTACAATCTGTAAAATGCCTATGACATGTTGTACAATCTGTAAAATGCCTATGACATTTTGTACAATCTGTAAAATGCCTATGACATTTTTTACAGTCTGATGTTATGAGAAGTTCCCGTTACTAATTAACTTTCTTCTTCTTTTTCGCGTTCACCAACTGTACACTCTGGCGGAAAGTTCTGGTTGTTCGTCCACTTATGAACTGCAGTCCTGCTCCAGAACCTGAGTGTTGCGAGTGCATCAGTTTTACAGATTTAATACACTTGAATGCAGACTGTTGGTTCCTTGCCTCTCAGGCAGATGCACTCCGACTTCAAAGAAAGCTCCCCAATTATGCGACTCTTACGACATGCTTTTAGGTAGGCAGTGAGTCTATTCTTGTTTTCCCCACAATGGGGCCCCGGAACCCACATGGGGAAATTAAACGTGGGCATGCTGATTGTTTTTCTTTGAATCCGTGTCTGGTTTTTTGTTAACGTATAAAAAAAAAAAAAAAAAGCAAAATGAAAAACGAAATGTTTGTTTATATTATTAAAATAATATAACAAGGACATGATTATTCCCAAGTTGAATGCGAAATTGCAATAACTCGCACCAAACAGTTACGGAGTAACAGATTTTTAAAGTTAGCCACAACTTCTAAAACGTACTAAAGTAATCTTACCAGAGGGAGTTGTCAGGCCGTAACTGGAGTCACTGAAAACAAAGGCCGAGGTAGGGGCGCTTGGTGGCGCAGGAGGAAGAGGCGCAGAGATATGCTGATGAACTGGCCCCTTGGCGATGTTGAGTGGTTGTGATGTTGGTGGTGGGTGCAGGTTGTGGGTGCCCGCTGTGGGTTGTTGTAGCTGCATGAAGCTGTTGATGTTTGATAGCTGGGTGCTGCCCATCTGCTTTCGCCATCTTGCTCGTCTGTTGCTAAACCAAACCTGGGAACAGTAGAGGGGCTTGCTAAGTAAGGGAGATAATGGAAACAGGAGAAAGACAATGACATGACATATTCTGAGGCGAAAGGGGTCATTCGGTCGTAGTTGAGTTGAGTTGAGTCAATAATTGACATCACAGAACTCAGGGCATTGCCATGCACGCTCCGTCCTCATCTTCAGCAGCCAATTCCAATACTGATGGTACAGGTCACAATCTGGTTATATGTCCGTCTTGCCTTTCCTCTGAGTGTAGTGAGCCGACCAGACCCTCTGGCCTATCAGAAGTTAACCTAAATCAGACTCTAAAGATGACCACCACTTAATATATTGCTTCAATCATTACGTCCTTTTTAGGACGTTAATTTTTTGTTATTTGAAGCCCCACTCTGGCTTTTGCCAGGGGCCGCAATATAGGCAGGTCATCATTATGGCCAAATGTCTGAACGCGGTTTCTGGGACCTCTCCACGGTGATCCTCATCCGCATGGTGGCACTTTGTGTCATCGGGTGTTTATCGCTTGTGTGATGTCCTGGTGGGGTAAAAAATCCAATCCAATCCAATCCACCACTTACTTGTCCGGTATGGATAGGTCATTATTCTTCGCCTCATATCAGGACACAACAAACTTAACAAGTATATGCACAGTCTTCTTCTAAAAAGTTCATGACTGCATCCATGTGGAATGTGTGCACAAAGTGCAGGATGTATCCTGTATGTCCTGCGATACTGTAACTGAACCCTGGCCCACTGAGTCAACATCATACTCTAAGCAATACGAAACTCTATCATAAGAACGCGTCTGTCCGACTGGCCTGTCGGTGTGGAATACCGAAAATGCTGAGCATGTGCTCCAACACTGTCAACTGTATACTGCCAACAGAGAAGCAATCTGGCCTGTCCCAACCTCAATGAAGACAAAGCTGTAATGGTAAGTAAAGTAAACGACCATTTGCCACGCCTTCTGGCAAATTGGGCATATAGGGCTGAACTTATATTTGTATAGACCATCGACACTTTGTGGGTGATGTGGTCAGCAACACGCCGGCCACCTTTACTTCCCAGGACTGCACCTGGTACCCACTCAAGGCTGGTCGATCTGGGAGTCAAAATCATTTTTGTAGGAAAAAAAAACCCCGGCTCCATCAGGACTCGAACGCACCAGCTTCTGATCCGAAGGCTGGCGTCTACCCGGCTTCGCCACAGCGACTCCTAAGCTGTATAGTACATGGGTAGATATAGTCTACATGGTGGCTTTCATTAAAGCTACCGGCCTCCAGAGAAATAACTCTTCTGACAAAGGGATCGAAAAAGAAGAAGAAGAAAGTCTGGAAAACGAAATCAAGTTCTTCATCTGTGACTAACCTGCACCCTGGCCTCGGTGAGTTTGGTCCTCTGAGCCAGCTCCTCACGGGTGTAGATATCTGGATAATGGGTTCTCTCAAACGCTCGCTCCAGGTCCTCCAACTGCTCGCTGGTAAACGACGTTCTGCTCCGCCTCTGCTTCCTCTTCAGTTCAAGTCCTGGTTCCGACTCGCAGTCCGACATATCTGGGTCATCAATAAAATAGCCTAGGTCAAGTAAACGAATGACTGTCATGTGTCTCCGAAAATAAAACCCGGTCTTGTATTATTGTGTTGCTTAAAAGAATGCACTAAAGCTCATTTGCAGAGGTAATCTAATTTGTGTGTGTGTGTGTGTTGTGTGTGTGTGTGTGTGTGTGTGTGTGTGTGTGTGTGTGTGCAACTACCAGATACTAAAATGTTAATGAATACATGTACAAAATTCTACATTAAAAAAAAAAAAAGCCATGTGTTTTTTTCCGGAACATCCTCATAACTCTCCAAATTCCGTATTCCGGCCTGAATTCGTTCATTATGAAGTGCCCACTAGTGGTGTCTGTACTCCGACTGGCCAATCGTCAACAAGTCTGTCATTCTAGATAAAGATCCTAACTATGGCTAATTTTCTAGGGTAGGGCTTATATTAAAATCATGCTGAAAAAATCTGGCTAGTGCATACTTTTGAGGTAGGTCTTATATACTTTTCGTTCGGTTTGATATCTTTTCTTAAATTATGGGAGACAAGATATTCTGCATCACTAGCGAATAGCGCAATTGGTATTATACCCACATTTGTATAGACATATCAGGACTCGATGGAAAATGCGGCTAGCACAACACAGACCGCCTTTACTTCCCATGACCTCTTCTGGTACCCATGTTAGACTGGGTCAATGGGGAAGCCAAAGTTGATTATTCCTTGACTGATTCGAACTGAAGACTCTTGGGCCAGCAGGCAAGTGCCTCTTTAAATATGGTGTTGTTCGTCCATCATAAGTGATGAAGAACACTCTTTCTTTCATCCGTCATGAATTGAATGTTAGTGAGTCCGGAGGTGACTTATAAGTCCAATTCGTACCCGGAAGAGTCTGGGACAACGATGACAGGGCACCATGTCTGTAGATAAAAGGCCTGTTTGGCGAGTCTTTCTTATAATATAAGACAATCCTGATCAGCACAAAGAAACATCTCATACAAAGCATATTCATTCCCACCCTATGCTACCAGTGCCAGACGTGGCCATTCAAAACAAACCAGAAAAAAAAAAATTGTTAACACGGACATTAGATGTCCGAGAAGGGCGGCAAGAGTGACCGGAAGATATAAAATCAGGAATAAGTTCATACGAAAAACAAAATCGACACAAAACTAATTCTAAATTACATACAAAGACAACGAATCAAATGGTTCGCTAACTTGGAGAGAGACTATCTTGTGACGCTGTACCATACAATGCATACACCAAAAGAGGAGAAGGGCGTAGAGCACGAGGTAGATCAAGAACAGAATTGAAAGACAGCATTAGAGAAACAGGACAATGTTTCTATGGACAAGGCGGCAAGAAGAGTAAGAAGTAAAACCTTACATTTCACTCGATACCCTTAGCATGTTTGAGGTTTAGTTTGAACAACAGACCAACATCATGGCACACGGGTAGTAACCCATAAGTGCTCCCTTCTCTTCTAACTCGTCTGAGTCTAAAGAGACTCAGCACAGTACACATGCTCTGTAGCACCGGTGAGGATCCTGAAATACTTTGGGTAAATTTTTAACTCCAAATATTGCCCGGGCAGCACCGTTAGACTACTCTTTTCGATTTCCAACTGCCAAGGCATTTTTTTTTACGTGCACAACAATACACACGGGCGTCCGATCGCACTACCCAGAAACGAGGGGGAATTACTAGAAGTCCAAGCCCACGTGAAACAATCCCAGCCCTTACTGGGGATTGAATCATGCCTCGAGACCACACAGCAGCTCCCCTCTTTCCCCCCCCCCCCCCAACCCAAGCAGTAAAAGAAGAAGTGAAGTTGAAGAAAAGGAGGGCAACTTTGTAGCTACTGCGGCACCCATAGGAATACAAAGACTAAAGTACAGGACCGTTTTGGCGTCATATTTTTTTAGTGAGACACATTTGGTTAAGGACCAGTGGTTGCCATGATGATGAAGATGACATTGTTGATATCAACGGCACTGATGTGTCAGTTCTCTGTCGACTCTCTGTCTTCCTCAGAAGTACCAGGAGACAGTCGCATCTTCTTCTTTGTTCACGGTGGAAATTCCTGGATGTTCGTCCATTTGGACTTTGTGTCAGGGCCTGAGTTTTGCTGTACATCCGTTTTACTGGCTTATTTGTGTGCAGCTTGTTGTTCCTTGCTACTAGGACAGATGCACTTTCCCTTCGAAGGAAACTCACAGTTAGTCAACTCCTACCACATGATTTTGGGGGAGGAAATGGGTCTTTTCTTATTACCACACCCCCCCCCCCCCCCCACAATGGGGTCATGGGACCCACGCAGGGAACAGTCATATCCACTAGAATTCTTCGAAAGAGTTATCATGCAGGCGTTCCGCAACGAAGAAAATATTGACCCCAAGCGTCCCCTTTGACAAGAAACCATCCTTGAGTGGAGCCCAAGGTGTGTAATTCTTTCTAGGAATCCCTCTATAACCATATTTACAGCGACGATCTTCAGGGACCTCCCTACAAATTGCACTAGTTAACTGAAGGGCGTAGCCGTGGAGCGAACCTATCACATTCGGAGCGCAAGGCAAACGGCTTGACCACTTCGGCACAGAGACCCCTGTATATATATATATATATATATATATATTTTATTTTAAATGTACATAAAAGAAAATGAAATGCATACACAAAACCTCTAAAGAACATTTCTATACATGGCCTTTTTGCCCCCTAAAAATATTTTGCGCGGGTTCAAAGGGTCCGAGTTGCCCAGATGAAGGGGCCTAGGGTCTGGGACATGCAGGAGCTTCTTCAAACTCCTATAGCATGTTTCTTTAGTTGTAAAGAAGTGGACCTTCCAGGCCTATTGTGCAAATAGGGCTAGACCTATTTTTTACAGACCAATCGGCGCTCGGCGAGTAATGTGGACACGTCAGCCGGCTTTACTTCTCAGGACTTTACCTGGTACCCATTAGTCGACCTGAGAGCAAAATTCATTAAAGAGAACACGTCTGAGCTCCTCAGGATCTGAACCTACGACCCTCGAGCAGGCGAGCGTCTTGCAGCTGGATAATGGCGGCTGCCCGTTTAATTCTTTAGACATTAACCGCGTCAATTCTACCCGATGGGAACAATCTTTTTGACTTCTTCTCAATTGTTCATTTGTTTGTGGAAGTGTTTCCCCCTGTCCTGTTCAGATAAGCCCGCTAAAAATGTCACAACACTGAACCCTTTGAGGTCCTCAACTGGGACAAACACTCAACGGGACCATCAGACACTCTCAACAGACAATCACTTTTATTTTTACTGCTATCTCAACGTCTTCAAGGCGAGAAAAAGAAATTAATTCTCATCAGCTTTTCAAACTCACACAGGTTAATAAAGCTCTGTTGCCACTTGACAGCCAAAGTTGCTTAGAAAGAATATAACAGATGAAAAAAGTCGTCGACACCCGCTGGGTTCCAACAGCGACACGCCAAAACTGGCCCTCGTGCGCGGCTCGGGGTATCGGGTATCAAAGAACAGATTACCCCTCAGGGGTCCAGGTACCCGGGTGGATCATCAGACTCTACCACAGCCCCCTGGTGGGTCGCACATATCCACAAGAGCCAATAACTCGTTTCGCTTCAGAAGCTACCAAATGTTGTTGCTAATTTTAGTATGACTCCCGGAGAAGGAGGAGCTCATACAGAACCACAGTAGGCGGTCCTGGTAAACGCGACCAATGCTCTCCTGCTCCGACACGCTTCGGCAACTCCCAGAAATGTCTGAAAAATAATTTAATAATGTCTGCAATGCCCAGGTAACCCAGCAGACCTGACAAGGGGGGAAAACAAAACCACAAGAGAGCGAAGTAGAGAGTGTTGTTTGTTGAATACCGGCATTAAGTTGAATGCTATTTGAAAGTTGCGAGACAACAATGATCCTGAATGGGGGAGGATTAATTCTGTGCCTTGCTGGTCGGATCGGGAGCAGGTCACCCGTGGCCAGTAATGATTCACCGGTCCCCGCTGGTTGCATCTTTACGGGTCTTTTGATCTGATTCCACGCATGCTTGTGCCACACCACGGTTTCAGTCTATGCCAGCTATTGCACATTGACAGAAATGAAGAGGCAATGTATTTCTGTCAACAAAGAACGAGTCTTTTTTGAGAAGTCATCGGTCATTTAAAGCTGCTCACTTTTACAAGTGGCGAGAAAATTTAAAGACGGTAATATATCATCATCAACACCAAACCTGCTACATGTCGGCGTGGGCGACCATGCTTGTTCACATCTGGTGATATCCAGAAGGTATAACTTCATTTAACGGCAGGGTCATGTTGCAGTCAAATAGGGACCTCATCCACCACGAGACTAAGACATTCATTAATCTAGTATTCGAGAAAGGTGGCTGGATGCGCACACACAATTTTCTCCACAAAACTCGCTTCATTACCTCTCTAGAGAGGGTCAGTGTGCTATATTCAGACTGAAAACAGATCACAACAAGCTTTGCCAACATCTGTTCAAACTGTTCAATGTCGGAAACACGGAGACATGTCCTTGCAGCCTGGCATCAGAAAACGCCGAGCATGTGCTTCGACACATACTTATGTGTGCTGACAACAGTGACGCAGTCTGACATGTTGCAACCACAATAAACACAAAGCTGTATGATATACGAGAAGATATTAACAGCCTGAGAGCTTTCGTAAAAGTTACCGGACTCCTGATATAAGATTTCTGACCATTAAAAAAGAAGCATGTTGTAAGAGTGGACTAGATGGGAGCTTCCTTCGAAGTTGTAGAATGTAGTGCATCTGCCTAAGCGGCAAGGAACAACCAACTGCACACAAATAAGCCAGTAAAACAGATGTACACGCAAAACTCAGGCCCTGGCACAAAGCGAAAGTCCAAATGGATGAACAGGCAGGACTGTCCGCCGGAGGTAACAGCCGTTGAACAAATAAAAAAGAAGAAGAAGACACAAGTAGACCTCTAGGTCGACCATACAAGCGATGGATATACAAAGTCCGACAATTTAGTAATGAGGCTGATTTTTTTTTAATGGCCAAGACAAAAATGCCATCTATGAAGCAAAGCATGCAATCCAAAGAGACAACCGTCATCTATGATGTGGAATCTTTTCATCGCCGCCCGATAAGCAGAAACAAACAAGCCGCCATTTTGTTGACCTAGTCAGAGGTGTATTGTTACGTAATCAGCATGGACGAAAAAAAGTTACATTAAAGTATGTTTAAAACTCAGAAAAAGCGCCATTGAGACAGTTGAACTGATGCGACAAGTTTATGGGGATAATTGTTTATCTCGTGCACAGATTTTCTGGTGGTATTTACTATTCAAAAGTTGTTTGGAAATGATTACTAATGTAACTAGACCTGGACGCCCAATCTCTGCTCCTAATGAGGAACTCATTGCAAAAGTCAGATAACGGATACAAGAAGATCGTTGTTTGACTGTGAGGATGGTGGCAGATGAATAAGGTGTTAATACAGAGACCATTCGTAAAATTTTAGTGGAAGATTTGGACAAGAAAAAAGTTGCTTTCCGGTTTGTACCACATTGGTTGTTTGATGACCAAAAACTTCGGCGTGTTAAGTACGCAAAAGACATCATCAAAACGTGTCACAGAAATTAACATTTATTAAAGTTGATTGTTGCAGAGGGTGAAACTGTTGCAGAGGGTGAAACATGGATTTTCCGATATAATCCCACAACTGAACGCAAAAATGTTCAGTGGAAATCATCATCATCACTAAATGGGCAAAAAACAAAAAACAAAAAACCCGTCTTCAAAAGTCGAAAATGAAGACAATGTTGGTGTGCTTCTACGACAGCAAAGGGGTTATACACTCAGCATTTATTCCAGAGGGACAGACTGTCACAGTCACAGTTTATTTAAGTATTTTGAAACGTCTTTTGAAAAGGATTCTCGGAGTATTCAACACCTGGCAGTTTTTTTTCCCTTCTTCTTGACAGTACACCGGCTCACCGGGCGGTAGTTGTACAGGAAAGTTGGCCCCAAAATTAGTGTATGTTTTCAAACATCAACCCTGCTCCCCAGATTTGTCTCCCTGTTTTTATTTTCTATTCCCCAAATTAAAGTTAACATTGAAACGACGCTTCTTTGACGACATTAATGACATCTAAAGGGCCGTAACATCGACTTTTAGGGCCATAACAATAGAAGAACCACAGAGGTCGTCTCAGTTTTTGTAAGATGGTGCCACTCGTTGTATCAATGCACAAGGCTATTACGTCAGTTAAGCGTCGTCCCAATAAGGGATGCAATTTTTAGTTATTGTGAAGCCCCATCCTGGCTTTTGCCGGGGGCCCTAAATATAGCCAGGCCTGAAATATGGCTTAACAGCTGAATGGGATTTCCAGGACCTCTCCCCAGGCGAATGGTGGCACTTTGTGTCACCGGGTGTTTATCGCTGGGTGTGATGTCCTGGTGGGGTTGAAGATTTATGATCATCATCACCAGTGCAACTTGTAATGTTTGGGCTCATTCAACACATCACCAACATCAATAAAACATGAGTGGGAGTCCACCTTTCCTCCTCCCCTCCCGGTCCTTTTCTGCCTCCCTTTAGCCTCCTCTCTATCAAATGTTTGTGAAATCTATCTATCTATCTAATCTATCTACCTAATCTAATCTATCTAATCTATCTAATCTATCTAATCTATCTAATCTATCTAATCTATCTAATCTATCTAATCTATCTAATCTATCTATCTATCTATCTATCTAATCTATCTAATCTATCTATCTATCTATCTATATATCTATCTATCTATCTATCTATCTATCTATCTATCTATCTATCTATCTATCTATCTATCTATCTATCTATCTATCTATCTATCTATCTATCTATCTATCTATCTATCTATCTATCTATCTATCTATCTATCTATCTATCTATCTATCTATCTATCTATCTATCTATCTATCTATCTATCTATCTATCTATCTATCTATCTATCTATCTATCTATCTATCTATCTATCTATCTATCTATCTATCTATCTATCTATCTATCTATCTATCTATCTATCTATCTATCTATCTATCTATCTATCTATCTATCTATCTATCTATCTTATCTATCTATCTATCTATCTATATCTATCTATCTATCTATCTATCTATCTATCTATCTATCTATCTATCTATCTATCTATCTATCTATCTATCTATCTATCAATCAAGTCAGCGACAGGACACCAACACCTGAAACAAACAACTATGAATGGCTCCGCTTTCCTCACGCACCCTTTCCTTTTCTGCCTCCCCCTTTGTTCTATTCTCTTTCACATGTTGGTGGAATGAAGGCATCTGTCATAAAAATTGTTTACGACTGGATTATTTTTGCCTTTGTAAAGAGATAAAATATTGTAAACAATGATCTGCACTCAATAAACGTTTATATTAAAAAAAGAAAAAAAGAAAAAAAAAGTAAAACTGGTGAAAGAAGACAACGACTAGGACGTCAAGGGGGCACCAACTTACCCTCCCTTTCGTGACTGATGTTGGTTGCTGAGGCGCCTCTTTCTCCCGGGGTTGTTGCTCTGAAGGTGTCATCTCCCTCCTCTATCTCCCGTGGACATCGTGATCTCAGCACTCTAGAGATGGAGCTGTCACTGGGTGCGGTTGTTCTGTCGCACATTCCCTCCTGGAAGAGCATCCCACACACAATGTCAAATTCTCACCAGGTGATCATACAGAATTACAAACAATAAAACCAACAATGTATTGATCGACATTGATAGAAATAAGTAGAAAGATAACTGAACACACTAGTTCAAAAAAAAAAAAAAAAAAAGGAAAGATCCCTTTTCATGCCTTAGGCAACTTAACCAGCATATGCACAGGCTTCGTTTAAGTAGTTCACCTTTTTGCCCTTGTGGGCTATGTGTGCAGACTACAGAACATGTCCTGCAAGACTGTCGCTTGTTCAGCCCATTAAGAAATGAATACTGGCCCAGTGAGTCACCACTGTACACAAAGTTGTATAAACTAAAAATGAACTCATAAAAACAGTCAAGTTTATCACAAGAACCTGTCTGTCGGTGTAAATCAGAAAGCGAACACAAGAAGAAGTAGAAGGCCTTAGGCGCATCGGGCATATGGGAAGAGCGCCCGTATTTTTTCAGACCATGGGCACTAGGTGGGTAATGTGTTCAGCATTACGTCGGTCGTCTTTACTTCCCCAGGAACGCCATTCCTGTTACCCATTTTAGGCAGGGTCGACCTGCGACGCCCCAAACCATGATATAAATCCCCGCAGCTGGCTTTCGATCACGGTACGTTGGATTACGAGTCGGACTTGCAACGCCTAAACCACGGACGCCGCTTGGACACACTAGGACTAGACAACATAAACATCGAAATCTATAGTGTCTATACCGGGAATAGAAATTATCACCTCCAAATGACGACAACGCCTCGAGGTGCAGAGCAAAATACTCAAGCATGACCAACCAGAAAACGTTCGATCGCGGTTTGGACCCTATAGCTTTCGATTTTTATATTGTCCAGTGTGCCATAATTTCTACGTCTTTCTGTGAGTACCGATCAATACATGTTTATTTATTAAATACAAATATTTTTACGACCTCAGTGGTTTCCCATCCGTCTATTTCCTGTACTGCTTGCCAGGCAAAGGTGTGTGTAACATGTTGCTATGTTGCTACAGGAAAGATACATGCTCTCAGTATTGTAACTTTGATTTTCTTGCTGGCGCTTAACCACAGACGTTTTGCCTCACATGGTGTACGGTGAACGATCCTAGTGGGATTTCAGTTTTACTCACTCAGCCTCACAGTTGTTAATCGTTCAGTGAACGATCCTAGTTGGACTTGAGTTTTACTCACTCAGCCTCACAGGGTGTACGGTGAACGATCCTAGTGGGACTTCAGTTTCACTCACTCAGCCTCACAGTAGTTAATCGTTCAGTGAACGATCCAAGTGGGTGTTCAGTTTCACTCACTCAATTTTCGTCACAGTTTGTACAGTGAGCGATCCTAGTGGAGTTACAGTTTCACTCAATATGCGTCACAGGGTGTTAATCGTTCAGTGAACGATCATAGTCGGGCTTCAGTGTCACTCACTCACTTTGCGTCACAGGTTGTTAATCGTTCAGTGAACGATCATAGTCGGGCTTCAGTTTCACTCACTCACTTTGCGTCATACTTTGCGTTTAATCTTTGTATTGCCATTGCCATCTTCACTTTGACTTCTGTTCAACACTCTCCATTGATGTTTATTACAGAGCCTAGATTTTCAAAGTTTTTTTGGGTGACATTTTCGATTTCTTTATTTATTGTTATTTGTGGATGACAGACAGTTTTGTCTGTGGACCTTTGTTTCTTCTCCTTCTTCGCGTTGACAGGCTGCAAACTGCGGCGGAAAGTTCTGGTTGTTTGTCCACTTCTGGACTTTAGTCTTATTCCAGAACCTGAGTGTGGTGTGCACATTGGTTTAATACATCTGACTTAATTGTTTGCAGATTTTTGATTCCTTGCACCTCATTTGAAGGAAGCTTCCAATTAGTCGACACTTATGACTTGTTTTCCCCACAATGGGTTCCCGGAACCCACATAGCGAGACATTATTTTTTCTTCAGGAATTATGCAGCCAGCGAAAGAAGTGAAATGGGCTGTAACTCTACAGTCGAGAGCGTGTGCATGCCAGACAGTTGTAACACATACTCACGCTGGCATGTCCCACCGTCAGCAGCTTGTCGCGGATGTCCCAGCTGAAGGCCCCAGGCTTTTCCCGTCTATAGTCCTCGATTCGAGCCTCCGCATCAGGGGTGGCAACCCTAGGCTTGCTGCCTCCGATGACACCTGGGCGGATGCTGCCGGTCTCCTGGTAGCGCTGAAGGATCTTGGAGACGCACCTGAGGAAGGTGAATTATTGTGTGATTACACCTAGGCCAGGTATGTGAGATGGCGTCAGTGCTGGTGAGCCGTCCTAATAAAGACAAGTCCGAAAAAGAAAAACAAACACACACACATGAACTAATTTATGTGGTGGCCAAAGAAAGGCAAAGAATAGACCTCAGCTTGAATAACGCGACGACTTAAGAAATTTTATGTATACATACATATAGACAGACACACGCCCCCCTTCCCCCCCCCCCCGCCTCCACACACATACTTCAAAGGAAAACCTTAAAAAAAACACCACATAAATATGTCATATAAATGACAAAAACAATCCCACTATATTATAACCTAACGATTTTGATGTAAATGATGCCAAAGTATGAAGCAGGTGATAACACAGTGCAGACTAATACACTGACGTCATTATGACCATGTAACGATGGCCGCCCCACTTTTGACATGCTCCAAATGGAGCACCATTCATTTTGATCAACGAAAAAGTGAAACCTATAGAAATTATTAGCGGGACGAAACACAGTTTAGTGATGCATGTCTATCAGTCCAGTAAGTGTATGAAAGGAGTATGAAGTTGAAAAAAAAAATCGGCATATTGTGAAATATGAAACAAATCCTAAGCAATAAATCTCACTCATTAGTAAAAAAAAAAGGTAAAGGACCCATTTTAACGCTTTAAGGCTTATGGGGCATATAGGGTTAGACCTATATTTTATAGACCAATCGGCCCAAGATGGGCGATGTGGTCAGTATCACGCCGGAAAACTGGAAAAAAATTATTGACAGTCGTTCGTTATGGCAAGGATTTTGTCAGTACTCTACTGAAACAGGCTGTTTGAAGTCGCCAGCTGGGCAGCGGCATGGTTGCCCACGCCTCTCGGCCATGCACTTGATAGTGATAAAATCTCAGTTGAGTCAGTGATTGAGTCAGTGCTGGACAAAACAGTTTAGACCAGAAGTATGCTAGTGGACAGACAGACAGACAGGCAGGCAAATGGACAAACAGACAGGTACAGGTAGGCAGATAGACAAACAGACAGTCAAGCAAGCAAATGGACAGACAGACAAACAGATATCTCACCCGTGTGACACACGCAACTGCCGACTGATGACACATGGCCGAACGCCCTGGGAGGCCATCTCCACGATTCGCAGCCGTATATGGTTAGGTAGGGGTCGTCCGTTGATAAATACTCCGCCAAGCTGGTTCATACGACCTTGGCCTGAACCACAAATAATCATAAATCAACTGTGTTATTAATTGGGTAGGATCTAGTAAAAAACATATCATTAACATCATCATCGTCATCATCGTCCCGTAACACAGCGTGATGTTCGGTCACCAGTCACTTTTGACTCTCTGATCAGCCCCCTTCACCTTTGACGGTCAGATGCCATAGATTTCATAGTTGATGCCTAAGGCTTGTCCGGTTAATGAACTTCTGTAACCAGGTCTTTCTTTGTTTACATCATTTTCTCTTTCTGTTAACTGCATTATTGTTTTTTGAGAGGCCTTTAAATTTTATCACATGTCCGTATCATTGCATTTATCGCCTTTTCACTGAAATTAAGAGAGGTTCATATGTGCAAACGTGCTGGATAATTATATGGCTAACCTCGTCATTTACGCCGTGAAAAACATCAGTCCCAGAAAAATGTTGAAGCTCGCACACGTTAAGTAAATGCATAAGACAGCCGTCAAATATACCAACACTCACAATCTCCCACCCTAATTGTAGCTCACTGTTAGAGATCCATTAAAGCTAATCTTCATAGTGGAGAAGGTATACAAGTGATTGATTTACGGAGACTAAAATAGTGTTCGAATATCTTGTCACGGCGATTGCGATCGTGTGGAAGTTAGTGGTATCTTCGTCAGGGGAGAGGTAACTAGCACCACTCGGACTGCATACTGTGCCATTAACGTTATTGCCCTTTTGTTTTCCCGTACGCAACTACCTTTTCATTCCTAGTTTTTAAAAAATCTCTGCATTTGTTTTCGCTTCCACAAAATACGATCTATTCCTCTGTATATCACCATCTCTAGAGACAATACGATCTATTCCTCTGTATATCAACATCTCTAGAGACAATACGAGCTATTCCTCTGTATATCACAGTTCCTTGAGACAATACGATATATTCCTCTGTATTTCACCATCTCTAGAGACAATACGATCTATTCCTATGTATATCACCACCTCAAGACAATATGGTATATTTCCCTATATATCACCATCTCGAGACAATACGATCTATTCTTCAGTATATCGTCCTATCTAGAGACAAAACGATCTTTTCCTCCGTATATCACCATGACTAGAGACAATACGATATATTCTTCTGTATATCACCATCTCTAGAAACATAAGATCAATTTCTGTGTTTATCACCATCTCTAGAGACAATACGATAGATTCTTCTATATATCAACATCTCGAGACAACACGAGATATTCTTATGTATATCATCATCTCTAGAGACAATACTATCTATTCCTCTATACATCACCACCTCGAGACAATATGGTATATTTCTCTATATATCCCCATCTCGAGACAATACGATCTATTCTTCTGTGTATGGTCAAATCTACAGACAAAACGATCTTTTCCTTCGTATATCACCATTTCCAGAGACAATACGATCTATTCCTCTGTATATCATCATCTCTAGACAAAACGATCTATTCCTCAGTATATCACCATCTCCTCGAGACAATACGATCAATTCCTGTGTATATCACCATATCTAGAGACAATACGATATATTCTTCTATATATCGCCATCTAGAGACAACACGAGATATTCTTCTATTTAACTCCGTCTAAAGAGACAATACGATCTATTCCTTTATACATTCCTATCTAGAAGCAATCCGATCTATTCCTCTATATATAATCATCTTGCCCGGCTCTCTAGCGAAGTTGGTTAAACCTGACTTTCGCGGCGGCCGGGTGACGAACTCCGCGTGGTCCGGGTTCACTCCCAGGGGTAGGCAGAAAAGCCACATTTCTCCCAGATTAACGGTACCTATAATGGAATCAATGCCGAAGGGTTGCGATATCCATAGTACCGAGCCAAAGGGTTTACAACTCATGGTTTCTGGATACGTTTAAAAAAAAAAAATAATCATCTCTAGAGACAAAACGATCGATTCCTCTGTACATCACCATCTCGAGACAATACGATTTTAATTGCTTTGGATCTTTGGATAGTACAACATAACATTTGAAAATGTTTAATTTTAATGTGTTGTTAATCGTTCTAGATATATAATTTTCGTATGCTGTTGGGCATGTTTTTGGCCATTATGTTAATCTGTTTGACCTTAGCTATTTTTCTCCACTTCTGTCATCATATGTAAGGACATGTCTAGAGACAGGAGAAACTTGTTAGTTGTTCTAATTTATCTTTTTTTTTTTAAATCATGACATACCCATAAAGAGCAAATATAATATACACTAAATGCCTACGTCATCTACCGTGGCATATTATTATTATTATTATTCACTCATTCATTGTCCTATTGTGTCATTATATTCGCATAGGGCTCGCAGTCTATTTTTCCATTCCATTCTATCCATTGTATCCTTCGATGTTATGGATGGAATTAATTCCAATAGCTTTGGCTTCTCTCACCAACGTCCTCCTTAGGGTTTCTCTGAGATGCCCTCATTTCCCCAATCACTGTTCATCTGATGTAACTTTTATTTCGAATTTTGTAATTATATTTTCCCCATTCAGCATGTTATTATTATTATTAAAAGAAACTTAGGAAGCTTAAGCTCACGCCCCCCCCCTCGCCAGAAATTGTATAGGAAAGTTGAACCCCGCCCCACCTTCACAATCCCTCTATCGAGCACCTCTAAAGTTTTCTTTGTGTCTGCACGCCTAGACTGCGATACAGGTAGGGACAGTACATCAAGTCTTAAAGGACTGCAGTGTGCCAGAGTGTACCACTAGTGTGAGAAACGGAGGAAAGGACACTTTCCCCCGCCTTCCGTGTATTAGGCATATAGGGCCAGACCTTCATTATATAGACCAGTAGAGTCTGTGCGTCATGTGGTCGGAATCACGCTGGCCGTCTTTACTTCCCAGGAATTTGTCTGGTAACCGTTTCAGGCTGGGCCAACCTGGGAGCCAAGGTCATATCTGAAAAAAGTCCCGCTCTGCCAGGACTGGAACCCACGGCTTTCAGATCCGCAGGCGAACGTCTAGCTCAGCGGTTCTCAACCTGCCAATCGCCACCCTTTTACAGGGGTCGCCTAAGACCCTCGGAAAACAAATATTTATTGAAATAATTGTTTGGGGGTCGTCACAACATGAGGGAACAGTTTTACAGGGTCGCGGCATTCGGAAGGTTTGGAGCCACCAAAAACCGAGGGAATTACTAGAAGTTCAAGTTCACGTGAAAAACTCCCAGCCCTTACCGGGGATTGAACCCTAAACCTCTAGCACTCGAGGCGGACACCATGCCTCGAGACCACGCAGCCTCATGAGAACGAGTGAATAATGATACTACCAGACAGACTGTGGGGAAGACACCGTGTACTAAATTCATCGAGAAATAGCAGCTCAAATGGTTTGGCCATCTAGTTAGATTGCAGCAAGATCAGATACAATCACAGGCAATACATCTCAGAAGATCAGCTACAGGAGCAAGAGGACGACCGCGAATATATGGATAGACAATTTATTTTTTTACGGCAACCAGAGCACACTGGATCGCAAATTATGTGTCCTCGCGAAACTTAACTGCAGAAGTGGTTTATGGTGATGATGATGATGATAATGATGATGATGATAATGATGATGATGGTGACGACAAAGATAAAGAGGCAAATAAAGCAAGCAAGACCTAATAGTACGATCACTATCGAGAGGCAAAATAAAAGGTGACAGTTTTGCTCGCGTCTTCTTCTTCTGTTTGTTCGGCCACTTCTGGTCTTTGGTTTTGGTTGATAACTGAAGCTTTGCGTGCACATCCTTATTACAGATTTGGCATCTTTGTATGCAGTATGTTGGTTCCTGGCCTCCTAGGCAGATGCAGTATGACTTCAAAGGGAGCACTCATAATTTGTTGCCCTCTACCACATGTTTGTTTGGAAAAAGGGGTGGGTGAGTGGAGGTAGTGGGTCACCCCCCCCCCTACTCCCAACCCAAATGAGGCCCCAGAACTTTCTGAGGGAACTTGTGAAGAATACCGAGTCGTGATTGCATAAGACTGGTCCAGACCATTTACCTGAAGACGACAGATGAGAAGCAATGGCGAAGATTTCAAGGTTAGTTGCGTATCCTTTACAGGACGTTGCTGAACCAACCTCAGCAGCCCCTGGATGTTTTGTGTTTGTTCTAGGCAAATTTACGTCCAGTAGTTTGCCATTGCTTTCTGGACGGTCGGCCCCCTGATATCACTGTCGAAACCAACGCAAGGCGCATAGCCCGGCTCTGGCATTACGAAGCGTTCGCATCGACTTAGCCACAGAGCCGACAATGGCGAACATAAACAGTAAAAAGGTAAAGATCAGTTTTCACGCCTTAGGCGCATCGGGCATATGGAAAGAGCGTCCCATATTTTTACAGACCAATCGGAACTGGCTGGGTAATGTGGTCAGTCTTACGCCGGTCGTCTTTACTTCCCTAGGACAGCCATCCTGGTACCCGTTCTAGGCTGGGTCGACCTGCGACGCCCCATACCATGATAAAAATCCGAGCAGCCAGCAGTGGGTTTCGATCGCGGTATGTTGGAATTACGAATCGGACTCTCAACGCCTTAGCCACGGACGCTGCAGTGGCGAAGATAGTGTATGAAAAATACACTGCATCTCCTATAACAAGATACAGAGTAACCACAGACACACACGCAGGAAGCAACAATCTTTTCATTTCTTTTTCTTTGCATTCACCAGCTGTACACTCTGGTGGAAAGTTGTGGTTGTTCGTCCACTTCTGAACTGCAGTCCTGTTCCAGAACCCGAGTGTTGCGTGTGCATCCGTTTAACAGATCTGACTCATTTGTGTGCAGACTGTTGGTTTCTTGCCTCTCAGGCAGATGTACTCCTACTTCGAAGGAAGCTCCCAGTTAGTCGACTCTTACGACATGCTTTTGGGTAGGCAGTTGTTCTATTCTTGTTTTCCCTATAACAGGACCCCGGAACCCACACGGAAACCTTTCCATTTAAATGATGTCCCGTGTGGGCTCCGCGGCCCCATTGTGGGGGAAACAAGAGTAGACCGACTGCCTCCCCATTAAGCATGCCGTAGGTGTCGACTAATTGGGAGCTTTGTTCAAATAAGGAGTGCATCTGCCTGACAGCACGGAACAACTAGCAGCAGATATCAATAAGAGAAAAAAAAAAAAAAAAGGGGATAACAGAAAAGAAAGAAAGATGGGAATTGCAAAAAAAAAAAAAAAAATCAGGGGAAAAACGTTAAAACATACAATTAAAAAAAAATTTTAGACAAAAAACCCGAAAAGGAATGATAAAAAAATAATCAAGGTAGGAACAATGCAAGAACAAAAGAAATGGCAAATATATGAAGAAATAAAGCAAAGACAGTACTAGAAAGAAAGAACGAAAGAAGAAAGAAGAAAGAGAAAGAGAGAGAGAGAGAGAGAAGAGAGAGAGAGAGAGAGAGAGAGAGAGAGAGAGAGAGAGAGAGAGAGAGAGAGAGTCAGACAGACAGAAAGACACAAGACAGACAGACAGAAAGACACAAGACAGACAGACAGACAGACAGACAGACAGACAGACAGACAGACAGACAGACAGACAGACAGACAGACAGACAGACAGACAGACAGACAGACAGACAGACAGACAGACAGACAGACAGACAGACAGACAGACAGACAGACAGACAGACAGACAGACAGACAGACAGACAGACAGACAGACAGACAGACAGACAGACAGACAGACAGACAGACAGACAGACAGACAGACAGACAGACAGACACAGACAGACAGACAGAGACAGACAGACAGACAGACAGACAGACAGAAAGACACAAGACAGAAAGACACCAGACAGACAGACAGACAGACAGACAGACAGACAGACAGACAGACAGACAGACAGACAGACAGACAGACAGACAGACAGACAGACAGACAGACAGACAGACAGACAGACAGACAGACAGACAGACAGACAGTTATAAACCTGCTCCCGTACCTACCTTTCAATATAGCCTCCTGCTCCATATCTGATATTTCATCTGCTGACGTGAGGACACAACTTGCAAACAAGTGCAGTTCTTTAAACAAAACACCAACTCTTTTTTGGGAGTTGCCACCGGAAAGAATCACTTCCTGTATTCACTCACACCTTCATGAATGACTGTATGTATTCAAGCACAGATACACGCATCACTTGATCATTATTAAACTATCGCTGTTTGCTGTCTGATTTTGGTCACCAGAACCACATCGAAATCAATTGTTCGGGTGATACACTCAGTGATAAACTACAAACATTCTTTAAAGCCTGATGAATACGCAGAATAGAAGGAATTAAATGGGATGATAGAATCACCAATGATGAGCTTTAGGAGAAAACTTAAGTTTTATGAACCAAGAGGTGAAGAAAAGACGCTGGCGCGGGATAGGACACACGTTGAGAAAACATGAAAACACTCTAACTTTGCACTGGAACCACATAAGTAAACGAGACATTTGGAATAAAGCATAAAAAACAACAACAACAACATGGAGAGGCGAGCTAGAGTGTGTCGTTTAAAAGATGAAGAGGATACAGGTGAGCTGCATGCGTTAGTGAAGGATAGAACCACCTGGCGTGAGTTGGGTGAGTGCCTATGCTCCAGTGAGGGATAGAAGGCACAAGAAGAAGAAGAAGTAATACCTTAAAATAGGAGGGTCATGAGTAAGATGTCTGCCTAGATTCAGATCTGTAAATATCAGTTGTTACGGAGTCATTGACACCTTGTTCTAGATTCATCGAGAAACAGGAGATCAAATGGTTTGGCCAACTCGTTAGAATGCAGCAAGGTCAAATACCATCACAAGCACTACATCTCAGAAGATCAGCTACAAGAGCTGGAGAACGGCTGTGGAAATATGGATCGACAACATTAAAGACACTCTACGCATGACAATAGCCAGTGGCAGCCAACGTGCACTGGATCGCAAACTATTCGTCCCCACGGGGCTTAACGGCATAAGTGGTTTATGGTGATGATGACGGAGCCACTGGTAGAAAATCTAACGGTGTAAAAGCATTCAAGCTCTGCTGTTCTACCTGCCTGAATATGATCTGTCATTTCAGGAGTTATGCATTTTACGGGGCATCACGGAGAGGACAGATGGCACCCGCGAGCCACTGATGCTTCTTACCCGTATAGAAGGTGGAGGCTGAGTGGTCTTGTGGCATGGTGTCCGCCTCGAGTGCTAGAGGTCCCGGGTCTAGCCGCTGTGAAGGCTGGAATTTTTCACGTGGACTTCTAGCAAATTCTCTCTGGTCTCTGGGTAGTGAGATTCGTGTTTATTGTTGCGCACGTTAAAAAATCCCTTGGCGGAGATCGAAAAGAGTAGCCTAACGGCGCTGCTCAGGCGAAATTCGGAGTTTAAAATCTACCTTAAGTATTTCAGGATCCTCACTGGTACTACGGAGTTCGTGCACTGTGCTGAGATTTTCAGACTCATGCTTGAGTTAGAAGGAGAATGAAGCACTTATGGGTTACTACCCGTGTGCCGTAATGTTGATCGGTTGTTCAAACCAATCAAATCCGTATGGGAATGCAGGTTGCACTTGGCAAGTGCAGTCCATACTGGTGCCCTAAGTATAACTTTGTTTTGGGAGGTTGTAAGAGCCTAAATATAACTTTGTTTTGGGAGGTTGAAAGAGGTATCTGCAATCTGACTTGTTGGTCTGACGTTCAGATTTCTTTTTATTACAGGATGGTATGATAAACCACCTTTAGGTAGCATCTCGCAGGGGCAAACCGATCAACGAATTGTTTAAGAACTTTGCAGAACCAACTCTAGCAGGAAGAGAGGGTGGGGGTCGGTATTAGGTGAACTAGCTAGGCAATGTTACAGCAGTTTGCCACTGCTTTCTAATGGTCGACTCTCGATATTACTGTCGAAACTAACGCAAACCGCTCTGCTGCCAAGTAGTCAGAAGCTAGGATCGAACCCGACATCTCGGAATTACAAAGCGCGTTGGCAACGACTAAACATGCAGTTAAATAAACAGCGGTTATCGCGGCGCTTTTTGAGTTAACGAAATAACACGGAAAATAAAGGGACAAGGTATTATTATTTTTCATAGATTTCACAATAACAAGTGGAGATAGGCAGTTACTTGTTATTTTCGGTAAAGTCATTCTAGCACATCGGTCAGGCACATTCGGGCTCAGTCATCCGATGTTGCACCATTGTCAGACCAAGATTCAGGTCCTATGTGCCTTCCTTTGATTAATTAGCAAATATTCACACCGTCTACTCTAGACAAGTTACACATTTTGGTCTTTGTTGATGCTGTAGAGTTCGTGTACTGTACCAAAATTCGCATTCTGTAGGACACGTCTGAATCCTTTTTAGAGATAGCCGTCTTCGGGTATCTTGGCCCACCTTCTTCTTCAGCATTCCGAGCCCTTGAGGTTCATTGCTGCAGATATCACCGGACTCCATTCATCTCTCTGGTTGGCCTTCTCTTTCCAGTTGGTGACACCAAGTGTTTGCAGGTCTGTCTGGACATTATCTCTCCATCGTCTTCTTGGTCTGCCTCGTACGACCATTCATTTCCCTGGTGTATACAGTTTTTAACTTTCTGTCATCTTTCAATATGCCCCCACCATTTAAGTCTATTAGCTCTAATGATGCCAGTGATCTGTGGTGATTGAAACAAATTATATACCGCCGGAATTCACAGCCGGTGAACAAGAAGAAGAAGAAGAAGAAGAAACAAAGGCTTGATCTCTTTTCGTTGCTCCAAGCTTTCATATCTCCACTTCACTGCTGTTATGTATTTTGATCTTGTGGCGAGAAAGATTCGTCGTAAAGATGTTTTCGAAAATACTGTAATAAGGCTTCCGGGGCCCTCTTTTAGCTGTGCCTCCAAAAGTTTCAGAGTCCAAAGCTTCCTAAAACGGAGTGCACTGGAGAGGCAAGGAATCAACGTCTGTTTATATATTGAGATCTTGCTGTTGCACGAGACACTCAGGTTCTGGACACCAACTTTAGCAACCAGATCCGTTTAAGGGCAGCTGGTACGCGAATACTTTATTTCTAGATTGTATTCTAGATTGTATTTCTTCTCTAAGCATGTTCTAGCAGTTGAAGTTTGCATTCAAGTCCTCATATGTTTCCATTCGTTTGATTTTCATATTATCGACTTGTATGTGGCCGAAGTTTATATCCTTTCCCTGTCTTGATATTATCATGTATTCTGTCTTATCTTGATTGATAACTAGTCCCATTTTCTGAGCTGATTCTTGTAAGACAGTCAGTGTTTTGACAATCTCTAGCTCATTTTCTCCAACGATATCGATGTCAGCAGCATATCCAAGTATTCTTGTATCATCTCCTATAGTACACTCTTGTTTCAATTTTCTTATAGTTTTCTCCAGGGCCGAGATGAAAAGAAGTGAGGACAAAGCATCACCTTGCTCTAAACCCGATGTTTTTTTAAAAGGGTCTGACTTTTCTGCCTTTATTTATTACTGTATAACGTGTGTCTTCCATACATAGTGTGGTCATGCTAATTAACTCTTTTGGTATTCCAAAGTCTCTCATAGCATTCCATAAACGGTTTCTATGCACACTATCATACGCCTTGGCCCACCGCCTTCTAAAAAAAAAAAAAAAAAAACTGTAGGAGTCCACGCTTGGCCCTTTACTAGAGCAATTAAATCACAGACTAATCTAGACAAAGGGTTACGACAGTTTCTTATTATGTTTGCATTTGAGTTTGCGCGCACATTCTTTGTACTGAAACAGATCTGGCTTATTTGCTTGCAGACTGTTGGTTCATATTTTATCAGGCAGATGCCCTCAGACTTTGAGGAGTCAAGGAGTTAGTTGACTCTTAGGACATGCTTCTTAAGAAGGCCTCAAGTCCACTAAGGGTCGCCGGACAATTAAACTACGGCGTGTCTAAATAAAACTTCAAGTCGTTTTGTTACTTTTTCTACAACTACTCACCACTGAAGGAGATAAATCGATTCCTCACACTGACAGCAGAATTTACACGCTTTCTTAAACAATAATTACACAAGACCTAATTACCCAAACTCTGCAATTGGTTTTGCACAGAATTCAATAGATTCCCACAGAAACTCTTCACAGAATCCAATTGAATTGTTCACACTCTAATGGGTTATCTTCGCTTTATATCCGTGTTAATTAGGGTTATCCGCTCCTGATAGGTCACGTGTCAGAAGAAACAAAACATGGCGTCCAGCCAGGTGGAGCTAGCAGGTCATTGGCTAATTAATGAGCTTTTGGGAAAGGTCCAATGGGTTAGTCAGGGTAAAGGAGGGATCTAAGTTAAGTGGGCGTTTCTGTGTGAATGAAACAGTCGCTTTGTGGGCAGGCTGGGGGAGCCCTAATTACATAAGAGCTGTCAAATTACGGGTTAGAACAACGGTCAGAGCAGCGGTTGCAAAAAAGCCCGATTTCAATAAAGGGTATTAAAACTCCAATATAACAGGTGGGGAATGATTTTGAAAAAAAAAGTACAAAGTAAGTTGTTTATTCTTTACACGACGTTGCAAAAACCAAAACCAGTATTTTCGTTTATAGCTATTTGAGATTTCATTAGACAATTTTACGTTCAGTAGTTTGCCATTGCTTTTTGTTGGTCAGTCTTCGATACCACTGTCAAAACCAACGCAATACGACCTGCTGCCAAATCGGCCACATCTGGTATGGAACTCGACATGCCGGAATTGCAAAGCGTGTTCAGAGCTGTCACATGATGATGATGATAAGGCAAACTGCAACGGATAACCAGTAAATACTCAGACGGTAAAGCAGTAGATAACATATCAGATTCGCTGTGATGGTTAAGGTGAGTACAGTTTATCACTTAATTGTGCCTTATGCTGCAAATTTTTACAGTATGTTCAGCAGTCGAGCCGAAAAAACGAATTCTTGGTATTTATAGTGGTAGTAGTAGTAGTAGTAGTAGTAGTAGTAGTAGTAGTAGTAGTAGTAGTAGTAGTAGTAGTAGTAGTGATAGT